CTAGATTAGATTAGCTTAGACATCTACCACCCTGAAAACTCAGTCAATGGCTTGATTATCTAGATATTATGTTTCTTTTCATACTTAGTGCTGCATCAGTTAAGTTTGATCTACTAAGTCGTGCTTAGAACCATAATCTCTAGCCTGCTTTTTGATTGCCAATAAGGTTTTCATCGGGGTTTCAGCCGATGAGTTATTTGGATGTTGCATCGGCTTACAAGGATTGCATACATATTGGATTTAGCTGATCGCAAGAAAGGTTTTACTGTTTAACCTAATCTTGTGGATTTTATGACATCGGACCTCCAGCCGATGTATGCTTTAACCGTCGGATCAGTGCTTGTTCTATTATATCATATTGCTAGCCGATTGGTTTATACTGGATTATATTGTTATTTTATTACATCATCATCAGCCGATTGCCATTATATTAGTATCTACATTGGACATATAGCCGATTGCTTAAACCTTATCGCTATCGGCTGGTATCAGCATCGGCTATTATCGGCTATCGGTTGGAACTACTCCATCGGCTTGTCAGCCGATCGGCTGTTTTATCTGCTGTTTACATATCTTGTCAGTTGAAGGATCAAACTGACTGGCACGCTCGCATCTCATCAATCGTTGGACCTGCACAGGAGTTAAGCAGATCTCCCAGGCCGGTGTGTTCGATTTTTTCGTCAACAAGTAGTGAAGCAGCCCGAATTCAGATTTTCTAGAAGATATTTTTTTCAGGGACGGGGGTGAATTTTATTGATTAAATAGAGTCATTACAATCTCGCAGAACAAGATCATGAACATAAAGTAGGAGCATCAAGTCTCCACACCGCACTATGTCAAGTCCTTCTATTTAACTAAGCTAGTTCATGATCCACTCAATTACACCCTCTTCCAACATGATTTAGACCGATTTCCTACAAGATTTTCTATGGACACGACTAGATTGACGCGTGGGTTTCTCCACACATATTGGTGGCATACGGCATACCCATTAGGGGTGAAATCGCTAATACATGACTAGCCATGCGCCTCTCCCCCGCGCCGCCATGTGGCGCGCGCGGAGAGGGGGCACGCGGTGGAGGAACATGTGCGCGATTCTTTTTTTTTCGGTTTTTCTCTTGTTTCCATTCGGTTTTTTCGTGGCTTTTTTTTTTTATTTTTTTTTGTTTTTCCCTTTTGGTTTTTTCTGGTTTTTATACAACTTTATATGCGTATGTATAGAAACTCTATATACGTACACAAAGTTTGTATATGTGCATATAAAAAATTTATATATGTGTCTTTTTTTATACGTATGTATACAAACTTTGTGTATAAGGTATACAAGTTTGTACACGCATATGAAGTTTATATACATGTATATATATTTTTTATACTCTTTTTTTTGTTTTTTAATACATACTCCCTCCATACCCACAAAACAAGTCGTTTAGGACAAAATTGTGCTTACTAAGGAGTGATTAATTTGAGGCTATTCTTCCATGTCTGCCCCTATTAAATGAGGGTGCGGGTGCATTCATTTGAGAAGCAAACAGAGCTCAAATGGCTACTGCAGTGAGGTTTGAAGGTTGAGTGCTTGGGTTCGATACTTGGTGAGCTCATTACTTTTTTGCTGATTTTGCATGGCGCTTGCGTGTGTATTTTTGGGCACGTATTTTTCGTTTTTTCGTCTGGGCACTCCGTTTTTGCGTATTTTTGGGCGCGTATTTTTCGTTTTTTCGTCTGGGCACTCCGTTTTTTTTTTCTGATTTTGCATGGCGCTCTAGCGGGTGTTTTTTGGGCGCATATTTTTCGTTCTTTTCACGGGTAGATGTCGTTTCAGTTTCACCATGCCTATTTAAACGGCTTCTTCTCTTTCCATTATTGTGCTTAACCTGCTCACTTTCAGTCCGCGAGAGTTTCCATCTACTGCATGCAAGGCTGTTCCAGCTGTTGCTGGCTTTGATTTGAATGTCCGCCTAGAAGAAGATGAGGACGGCAATGTTCCCTTCCATCTCAACGAGCCAATATTGGAGGATCACAACGTTAATGGTAATGTGTTTGTTCTTTCCTTTTTTTTATATTCACAACAACAACATCAACTAAGTTTCTATTCTAAGTTTTTTCTTTCCTTTTTCCGACAGGATTTGATTTGAACATGCCACTAGATGAATTTGGTGTAGTTGATTTAGATTTTTTTACAAAACCACGCTGGTAATCTTGATCTCAGTTTGTTCTTTCCTTTTTCATTTTTTTATTAAAGCAGTGGCTATTTTTTTTGAATGTGCTTGTTTTTTTTCTTTGACTAGAACATGCTGTACAGAACCAAGCTCCTGTTGAAGGACAACATCGAAGGAAGGACATGACAGAAGAAGTCACAAAACAAGTGTACTAAGCATTGTTGAAGGACAACAAGAATGGGAAACTAGGCAAGAAAGATACAAGAAGGGTTGCTGATCAATTTGGAGTGCACATTCGATCAGTTCAGCGCTTATGGAAGCGAGGTAAAATCCAACTTGCTCATAACATTCCGGTTGTGGTTGCTAGTCACAAGAAGGGTAGATCTGGTCGTAAGGCAATCCCTCTTGATTTGGAACAATTGCGCAACATTCCTCTCAAGCAAAGAATGACCATAGAAGATGTGTCTAGTAAACTAGGTATTTCCAAATCTAGGATACAAAGGTATTTGAAAAAAGGTTTGCTTAGACGGCACTCTAGTAGCATCAAACCATACCTCACAGATGCTAACAAGAAGACTAGGTTGAAGTGGTGTGTTGACATGATTGATCAAAGTTTGGTTGGTGATCCAAGATTTAAGGATTTTTTTGACTATGTGTTCATTGATGAAAAATGGTTCTACCTCTCTCAAAAATCTGAGAAGTATTACTTGCTACCCGAGGAAGATGAACCACATCGCGCTTGTAAGAACAAGAATTACATCCCTAGGCTCATGTTCTTGTGTGTTTGTGCTCGGCCAAGGTTTAGGAATGGAGAATGTGTTTTTATGGTAAAATTGGTTGTTTTCCACTTGTCACTTATGAACATGCTGTGAGAAGTAGTCAGAATCGTCTTTGTGGAGAACTAGTAATCAAGCCAATAACTTCAATAACAAGAGATGTGATTAGAGATTTCATGGTAAACAAAGTGTTGCCTGCCATTCGAGCCAAATGGCCAAGAGAAGATGTGAACAAACCAATTTTTATACAACAAGATAATGCACCTTCCCATTTGATATTGGATGATCCTGTTTTTTGTGAGGCTGCTAGGGAAGAAGGGTTTGACATTCGCCTAGTTTGTCAACCACCCAATTCTCCAGATTTTAACATTCTAGACTTGGGGTTTTTTCGAGCTATTCAAGCAATTCAATAAAAAAGGAGGCAAAGACAATAAAAGATCTAGTTCCAGCCGTGGAACATGTAAATGGATCCATTGTTCACTTGTTTCATTGTTTTGTTCAACAATTAAAGTACTCGGTGAAAGATTTATTCCACACATGTTTTGTAGGCATTCTTAGAGTACTCTCCATGGAAAGCAAACAGAATGTTTGTAACACTACAAACTGTTTTGAAGGAAGCCATGAAAGTAAAAGGTGGCAACAAGATCAAAATTCCTCACATGCAAAAGGAAAAACTAGAGAGAGAAGATCGGCTGCCATTGCAAATCTCATGTGAAGCATCCTTGCTTGCTGAATGCATTGCTAGTCTCGCTGCAGCAAATTAGAAGTAGAATATTAGATGATGCAAGCATGTTAGTCTTTGCAACATGCTAGCCGAAGCAAGAATATTAGCAGCAAATTAGTTTTTGCTTGCATGTTAAGTCGACTGAATGAGACATGTAACTTACTATTCTTGCTTCATCTTTGCATCTTCCAACTCCTTCATACTGTAGATCTCGTCCAACTTTTTGATAACGTGCTCAGGAAGAAGTATGGTTTCACCATCCATTTGAAGTTTCTCCACATCAGGAATGTATAACTCACAATCAAACTTTTCCATGTTAAGCAAAAACCTTGCTATGAGGTCGTAGTCTTCATGTAAAAGGCCACAACGGGCACACTTGCGAGCACGGCGGCGAGCTTGGAAGCATGCTTCTCCGAAGACGCCGCCAGCGTGGAATGTGCCGCAGCGAGGACACTGCACCACCTCGACGGACTCTGGTACCACCTCGACAGAGTCCGGCACCTCGACGGAGTCCAACGCCATCTCCGATTCTAGCCCCTCGACGGAGTCCAGCGCGTTGACGATGTCCAGGGTGTCGACGGAGTCTGGCACCTCGACGGACTTCAGCGACTCGACGTACTCCATGGCGCGACCAAGCTCTGAACCCTAACTATAGCCGGGCGGCGAGGAAGAGAGACGCGCATGTGCGAGCGGCAAGCGACGAGCGTGTGCTGCATGCGGGAGATGAAGAGGAAAGATCGAGCGCCATTAATCACGTCCATTCAGCTTAAGGCGGCATTAATCACGTCGCCTCGTTTCTTGCCTCGCCGCTCGTTGCTCGGCTCTCGCGTCAGGGGCATACGTGTCCAAACTAAACCCCGCTGAGGAACGACGACTTGTTTTGTGAAAACGGGTAAGAGCCCAGAACGACTTTGTTTTGTGGGTATGGAGGGAGTATGTATATAAACTTTGTATATGTAAACAAAGTTTATACATACGAATATAAAGTTTGTATACACGTATATATTTTTTATATACGTTAAAAGTGCATGGATATATATAAAATTTTTATATATATGTTGTATATACACGTATGTATATTTATATACATATAAACTTTGTATTCACATATACAAAGTTACATGTATGTACATACGTCTATTGTAAATAGAAACAGTACACTAGAAGGAATTAGCATATGTATGATTGATCTCTTTTTATTAATAATTAAAATTAAAAATAGTTAACTTGACACTACGCTAAAAATGCTATATTTTGGGACGGAGGAGCCAGAACGGACGTTTTCATTTTTGCGTCGAAGACGGCCCCGATTGCACATTGCAGGCCGGAAACCGGCCGAGCCCACCCATTAGAAAGGACGGACCCACCGTGCAGAGCTCTCCTCCGCTCCCCGGCCCGGTCACGCCGCCACCGCCGTCGCCACCGCTCCCCGCCGGCCGTTGTCCGTCTCTCTCGCCGCAACCTCGACCACGACCTGGGGCTGGGGCAGGCTCCGCCTCGCCGCCGCCCGGCGACTGCCAGTCAGGCTCGCCTCGAGCCCTTTCCGAGCCCAACCCGTAGCTATAGGCCCTAAAGTGGAGTTAGGTCCAACGCCACATTGCCTCGCCGACGCAAGTAGCCCACCGCACCACTGTCTCGTCGACTCCGCTGCTCTACAACGACCACTCCCCGAACCCGGATTGAGAGCGAGCGAGAGCGCGCGCGCGGGGAGAAGCCGAGGGTGAAGTCGTCGTCGTCGGCGGCGGCGGCGGCGGAGGAGGAGGAGGAGGAGACGACGATGCAGTGGTACCTGGTGGCCGCGCTCCTCACCGTCCTCACCAGCTCGCAGGCAAGCCCCGGCCCCCCCTCCCTAAACCCTCCACCTCATCTTCCCCTTCCTCTTCCCGCGACGCGCTGTCCAGATCTACGCGCTTTGGGTTTTTCGTCGACGCGTGGAGCAGAGGCCTCTGTAGGAGGCGGCGGCGGTGGCGGCGGTTGCTGCTGCTTCGATCTGCGGCGATGTGCGTAATTTGATCCATTGGAGTTGTGGTTTGGAGAAATGCAGTTCAGATAAGGTGTGGCCTGGGGGTCCGTGCCTGCTTCAGGGAGCAGCTACCTGAGCAGGCGTGTTCTGAAGGTGTCCATTTTATTCCCTTGTTGGGGATGGGTTTTTGGTGGAATTGTGAAGTTCTCTAGGTGTTTGCAAGTTGATGTAAATGGTCACGGGGACGCACCATGTAGAACAAACTTATAATTCCATTGCGGGAATGTGTCATTCCGTTCGGTTAGTATGGCATGAAGATGGCCCTTCATTTTTCATACTAGACAACTATCCAGACCATTATGGTCATTTTGCACATTTCCTGGTGTTCCAAACAGAATTCTACTTACAGTTAATTCCAGAAATGGAAAAATAATAGGAGTAAAATATCCTTATGAGAAGAAAGAGAAGAAGAAATCAAGATATTAAATGCAAAAGAAATCAAGAACATGACCAATCTTCAGCGCGCAACCAAGGGCTATGACCTGACGAAGAATCTCGGGCTAGAAATAGTGCGGCATTAGGGAGGTTAAGATGGTGAGTGACTTCTCTGGAGCTTGCCCAGCAGTTATGAGATAGTAGTGTACTCCAGAAGGGTACACCAGAATAGCATGGTACTGAAATGTTTGATTCCAAGCGCCAAACCAGAATGACCCACAGAACAAAACTGACAACTTGATGTAGAAAACCCAATCATTGGAGGTTAACGAGCAGACTTCATGGTCATAGTTAAATTAACTTAAGTTATTCTAGAAATTGTCCATTACTTGTTTTTTTCCTTCAATTGCATGGTTTATTTTCTAAGCTCTAGAGTTTTTAATTCTCTTGCATATGTGCAGGGTATCTTGACTACCCTCTCGCAGAGCAATGGCAAATATAAGTACGACTACGCAACCATTCCATTTCTCGCAGAACTCTTCAAGGTACATGAAGTTTATGCTATTGTTTACAGTGATATCTGTATATCCTAGTTACTGAAGGCACTCAAGAGATAACATTCATCTATTTATTTATTCTGCATGCTGATGTTAACCTGTTCTTGATACAGCTGTCTTTCTCAAGCTTCTTTCTTTGGAAGGAATGCCAGTCTTCATCTCCACCAAGGATGACAAAAGAGTGGAGGAGTATACGACTATACCTTGTTCCTTCAGTCATATATCTCATCCACAACAATGTGCAGTTTGCCACCTTGACCTATGTTGATCCATCTACCTATCAGATAATGGGAAACCTTAAAATTGTCACAACTGGAATTCTGTTTAGGTGACTCTTTTGTACCTTAATGTCAAATATTTCCACTGTTATTCTTCCTGATATTATTGGCATGATAGAATATATATTAAATATCCTTGTGTACTCTGCTTCATTTGATAAAATTCAAACTTCAAGTGCATTCTGAACTTGAAAGCAGTCAAAGACTTATCCAAAATAACATACACGATAGAAATTTTTAGCTTGTCTTCAAATTTTAAGCAGCTTACCCATAATGCCAATTGTCATTAGCATATATTATCTGTATGTTTGATGATTCTTGATAATTTAAATTTTATATTTTCAACTATTCTGGTGGTTCACTATATGACACTCTTTTGTTGTTTAAGGTTTGCCCTGACCCTTGAAATTCAGTTGACTTAATGTCCGTTTTTTCAGGTCATAAAATAATTTAATTTGCTACACTGCAATCAATTCACTGAAATAGCTATACATTTTTTCATTTTAATGTTTCTTGCTCCACAAAGTAAGAATATCAACTAGTAAGAATTGTGCACCACACAAGTGTTGCAGAGCCATTGAATTTGTGACAGCTGACAATTGAGAAATCAATATCTTATGTTTGTGTTTCAAAACTTATGCATTGCAACTAGATATTGACACTTCATTTAGTTGACCAGCCAACATGCTGACCAAATTAATTTCTGGTGCTTGATTGATTAAGTCTCATTTTCTCTCTAAACTGTATAGGCTTGTCCTAAAAAGGAAGTTGTCAAATCTACAATGGATGGCAGTAGTTTTACTGGCTGTTGGAACTACTACAAGTCAGGTTTGTGAACATTTTGAAACTTTATTCCCTTTTGTTTTAGCATATACTATTGGGTTATGCTTATGTTATCTCACAAAACTCCTCATACAAACATGTTACAAAAAATGGACTGGTGGCCTGACTGGAAAAAAAAACCTAGTCTGGTCGGTTTAAATAAAATAATGATTGAGAGAAAATCCAGGCAGATTGACTTTTGCTACTGTTGAGGCTTCTGGGGTTCAAACCTGGGATCTTGAGTCCCCCGAATGCATGGATTGGGCCTCTAACCAACTGAGCTGAGCTACACATTTGATTTATGGGAGATCTTGTAGATATTTAAAAAATGTTTTTATTATGTGTAGCCTTAAAATCTATTGAAAATATCATTTCCAAACTGGCCAGTTCACCGGTTAACTGGTCAGATCAGCAAACAATGAACCAGCAAATGACCAGTTCAACCATACATGTTTTTTCATACTACGATACCACGGATGACTGCTTCATCCTTTATGGGGCACTCGTCTTAGTGGCATGTGTGTGTGGATCCACCTTGTAAGTGTGATAATCATTGATCCGTTCTGATAGTAGAAAACATATTTAAGTCTGCCTAACTTATATGTTTTTAACTTGATGGCCGCAAACTTTGTGAACATGTAACTGAGTAATATGTGACTGTATTTTTTTCTTCTATTCTTTGGTGCGGTATATTTACACCTGATATACATGCTCCAAGATTGGATTTTTCATAATGTTTCACACTTACTCAGGTTTCCAATAGATATACATATAAAAATCAGATTTCTGATGTTCATTAGATGATCGCAAGCTATTTAATGTGTAGGAAAGATCCACTGATATTGGACACTTCTCCTTTTTTCATGTCAAAATACACTGCAATACCATTAATTTTTCTTTGAATATTTTACTGTAACTATGTTAAGTCACTAAATTTGTTTTTCTTACTACCCTTCTGTTGCTTACAGGTTAAAGGATGTGGCGATGCTCCATGTGATTCTCTTTTTTCAGCCCCATTTCAGGGTTACATGCTTGGGATACTTTCTGCTTGCCTTTCTGCACTAGCTGGTGTCTACACTGAATATTTGATGAAGAAGAATAATGATAGTCTGTACTGGCAAAATGTACAATTATATACGTAGGTATCTATATCTAACTCTGGTCCATTGTCACAGACCTGCACAGGCCAAATACCTTCCATTTTCAGTGTGCATATTTTCTGACTATACATTTGATTGCATCAAAACAATTTTAAGGCTACCTGGTGTGCTGTCACACCAGGTGTGGCAAACACTATTTCACACTTATCTTATGCACTGTCAGGTTTGGTGTTATATTCAACATGGGATGGCTTATCTATGGTGACTTCAAAGCTGGATTTGAGAGGGGTCCATGGTGGCAGCGTCTTTTTAATGGCTATTCTATCACAACGTGGATGGTTGTGTTCAATTTAGGGTCTACTGGCCTTCTGGTCTCATGGCTGATGAAGTATTCTGACAATATAGTCAAGGTGACAGTTTATTCTTAATCTTAGCTGTGCAGAAAAAAATCATCTCACTAGCGTGTTTCCTTTATACTGTGAAAGACGTAAATGAAGATAAAGTTCACAATATAAAAATAAGTTATCCACAGATCCAAAATCCATGGACGATAGCATGGGGTCAGTCATCCACCTACATATACACATGCAAAAGAATCAAGATATGCCTGATTCTAGTGCCTGCAGTGCAGATTGATACTGTGTATTTGATTTCATGCCAATTACGTATTTGCTATTTGTCAAAGAAAACTAGTTGACCAGACTCTTCAATCTTTAGAGAGCATGCTTTATTTGTACTGTACATTTGTCTTTAAGAAAACATGGAAAAACAAGTATATTTGGTGTCCTAAAGCAGGATAATGTGGTTATTCATGTGTGCTGAACATAAGATTTTCACCATACTGAACTAGTTAATTTTTTTTGTGAGTTTGTTTCTTCTCTTTTCTTTCCTTGGTTGAGCTAGCTGCTATTCATTCCCAATGCCTTTCTACTGGCCACTCCTTGATAACTCCATTTTCCTGTCCAATCAAGTGACCCATGGAGCGGCAGTTCAAACTTTCGCCTATAGACATTATTATTTTTTGTCAGATTCATTGAAATTAATAGACCTTTTTTCAGTGGTACTTTTTTTTTTAACAAAACGATGAGCGCCGTTTTCATTGAATATAGAAGGGGTAAACTGTACACAAAGGAACTGTAAAAGTAAGGGGCCTTAGGCCCTAGCTAACTATACTGTAAGCCAGTCTCCGAGTCTTTTTGCTCCTGCCAAGACCCAACCCAAGTTTTAGCCTCCTCCTTGATTTTTGCCATCAAACTGGCCGTCGAGAGCTCTTTTTGTTGGAAGGTTCTCCGGTTCCTCTCGTTCCAAATCTCCCAGGTCACTAGCAGCGTTAAGGTGCATAGTGCCTTTTTGGGTACTCCTTTTGTGTTTGCGATGGCCTCCCACCACTCTAGCACTGTCAAAATATGTTGCCGCTGGGTGGGGTTTAGCTGGGCGCAAGCGGTGCAGTCTGCTAGTGCCGCCCAGATCCTTTTTCAGTGGTACTTGTATTGGGGTTTAGCAAAATGTTAATGCCATCACAAATCTGTAGACAGTAAGAAGGATATGCCTTTTTTATCTTATACAATTGAAGTTGAAGGATTGTCTTATGAACCTCTATTTGAACAGGTGTACTCAACTTCAATGGCCATGCTTTTAACAATGGTATTGTCTGTATATCTTTTCAATGTGAGAGCAACACTTCAGGTACCTCTTTTTTTTTTTTTTTTTGGTTATTGGAGCCCTTTCATCCGTTTCAGTTTATTCAATTTTTTTTACATGTTGGATATGAAACCATGTAGATTACTGTTCATACTTACACATGCTCTATCCCCTCCCTTTTACAGCTTTTCCTAGGCATTGTCATCTGCATAATTTCCCTGCAGATGTATTTTATGCCTGTGAACATGCTTGTTGAATTGCCACAAGCATTGCCAGTTACTTCAAAGTAGGTACATGCCAGTGATGCCACTGTTGTTTAACCTGTTGATCAGTGTGTACGGTCTTCTGATTTAAGCAGAAAGGTTAGTTGATTATTTATAGCTCAGCTTTTGTGAGTAATCCCATGGAAATCGGAGGCTGCAATCTCCACAGCATATGTGTACAGTGTCATGTTTCAGATAACGTGAAAGAAGAGTGGAGCAAACATGGGTTTACTGCTACACTTTGCCAATTTTTTGGCAAAAAGGTGAAAGCATGCCTTGGAAAAGGAAATCCAGAATCCCTATACATTCTTTAGTTAGTGCTTAATGGTTTATTCACCTTGTATCTAAATTTTCTGACATTCAGTGGATGCAAAACTGGTGAGTGATCATGAAATAGTAAATCTTTGCAGAAAATTTAAGATTCCCTCGTCAGTTGCAATATTGCAGCACAGCAGCATCCATACTTTTTTTTTTGTTTCAGGTAGGATGCAGAACTTATTTTTATCACTTGTCGAGCAGAGCTCCTACATTATTTTCAAGACAAAAATGATTTGATAATACATATTTGACATCATAATCAAATAATCTATTTTTTTTCTACGATGTAAATAGCGTAGTTGACAATATGTCAGATGACATATTCCACCGGGACTAGTTTCTAGCATCTTTTATTCTATTACCCTGTATTTGGATCATCAACAATTACACGTAAGGGTTTTCCATTCCTGCTGGCGGTAACTATCTAAGCTTATTGTGAGGCATGGACTTGTCAAAATTCATTTGATTTACAAAGGTATAACATTGCAAAATCAATTTAGTTAATGAATCAGATTGTTTATTAGGCTCTGTTTTCTTGTCATACTGCTGCAGTTGCTTAACCCTTGATATGCATCCCATCCCATGATTTGCAAAACTAGAAATTCTATGATGTCCAGATAAAATTTGCCCATGGAAATGGAGGGCCCCTCCTATAGTACCGTACCTAGAATGATGTAAAATGCTTTCCCAAGGATGGAGTTTGTATGTTGTCTTTGGCTTGCGTGCAATACCAAGCTTGCTGGTCAGTGGTCACTGAAATATCTTTGAAACTGCCATATGGTTATTGTTGTTCATTGGAAAACGATATAAGTTGGTGTAAATGTGCTTGAAAATTGATGCTAGGGTTTGTGGGCCGCCCCTTGTTTTGCTAATTTTAGTTCTGCCCAGAACCCTTGAATAGTGTGCCTGGTCTCAAACTGAATTTAAGTCCTTGTTAGCCTGTATAACAAGTATATCTTGTTATTCCTCACTACAGTAGTACTAGTAACTACTTCCTCCGTTTCATATTTATATAAGACTTTCTAGCATTGCCCACATTCATATATATGTTAATGAATCTAGACATATATGTGTGTCTAGATTCATTAACATATATATGAATGTGGGCAATGCTAGAAAGTCTTATAACCTGAAATTGAGGTAGTACTTAATACTATATGTTGGCCTTCGGAAATAGTGAAACATGTGAATGATTAGGATAATTGCTAGTTTCTGTTTCAGAAATTTGGCCACTGTTACCTTGTACAAAATCAGGATTTTGTGTGTTCGACATATTGTTAGAAGCCATACATGTGAATCTTTTGCTAATTCTGTGCCCTCCACTCCTGAGCTTATCATTCAAACCCAGGTAGTTTATGTTTTTTTTTTAGTGGCATTTCCAGGATTGAATTTTTGGTTTCTTTCCCTCCATCAAGAAATATCTTGAGTGGCAATTTTCAGGACAGAGGGATTCTTTCCCCTCCCTCAAGAAAGCTTTTCACTTCCAGCTGAGCTAGCTGTAGTCTACTTTCTAGGGTTCTAAAGGCTTACCCATCTGACCGCATGAACAGTGGACATTCCTTTATCTGGCTAGTATGGGTTAAGGGATAACTTGCTTTTCATGTACATAAAAAATGAGTCTAATGCTTTCTCAAATTTAGTTCTTTTATGCATGTTTGGTTTTTTCAACACTATAAATGTTCACTTCATTCATATGTGAGAATTGAGATGCAAAATATGTTAGCTGTCACAAACTTAAGTTACCTGCATCAGCTGGAAATTTGTCTCAGTGCATACTCTTATGGAACTTGACAGGTGTCATACTACAATTATGCAAATGCTTTTCTTTTTTTTTTTACCCTGATCTCAGTACCGTAGTGCAGCTGTATCCCTTTGGGGGAAGGAATTGATTTAAAAATTGGAAAATCAATTGATTATATCAATTCTTCCTGTATAAATGTCTGTATTTTTTTTTAGTCAAGTGATCTCTTGGAGCGAACATGCTTTTGCCGATTATATTCTTGATCGTTCCTTTTGGAGCTGTTGGGAGGAAAAAGGTAAGGTGGGCAATATGGCTTGTCATGACAGCATTGTGTTTGATATTTCAAGTAGGCATTGCTAAAGAAGAAAAGAAATATCCCTAGTAACCATAAAGGCAGAAAGTGGTATGCAAAAAATTGGAGAAGGTAACCATCGGCCACCACCGATGAATGACCTGAAAAGAATGTCTCTGTTAGGTGGAAATCAACTGTGGTTTTCCCAGTTCACTGGTTTCCCTTCCTCCTGTGTCCTGACCTTTACCTCTTCCCCGTCTTGAGAGTAAAAGGCAAAGCAAAACTGACCATGTAATGTACATACATTTCATGCCCTACATGGCACTGGAGAAAGAGACATGCTGTACATGGAATGGATATCGCCTCTGCCATTGCAGTGAGGTCTCTTCCTTCTATATTCTTATATGTTGCGGGCAAAAGCCTATGCAAGGGGTGGATGTGGTTTTTGGTGTTGTTTTTAATGCGGAACTCTTTTTTCTGAATCCTATCAAACTTTTTTTCTATACTTTTTTTTTTGTGTTCCAAAGGTGTCTTGTTTCAACTGGACAAGCAATCTGAAAAAAATAAAAACAGAAAGAAATGTGGGTTTACCGTGTTGCCTGCCTGAAACAAAGATGCTGTTTGTGCACAAGCACACGTACGGCGCCCCCAGTTTGTTGTCGCCCATAGCATCGGCGTCCGAAGTGGCCACTGCAGTGCGTGCGTGAGACTGAAGCAGCAAGTCACATCCGTGGAACGGAAATGCTTATACCACAAGCTAGTTCTGTGTTGCATGCCGAACTCGTGCACCGCTCATCCGAACCACATTCCATTATCCCCCTCATACGCCCTAACAGTTTTAAAAATTTCCCCATCGGTTGTCCCCGAATTGAATTCAGGTTATTGTTTCAGTCGTAACTGATTTTGAATTTAATTAGAGGGTCCGTCTTTTCCTTTTTGTCACTCTGTTTTAACTTGAGTAAATTTCACAAAACTACATGTTTTATAGTTCAAGTTGCAGAAAACCACACACACTTTAACACTTGGGACTTAAGTATATATATTTTAAAGTGTAGAATGAATGGATTCACCCGCGATATGACGTGACTGTTTCACCTAGGACGAGAACATGGCATCCTATTATCAGCCATCGCACGAAATTAATAGGATGCCACGTCCTCATCTTAGATGGAACAACCACGTCATCTCACGGATAAATCCATTTATCGATAGTGTGGTTTTGTGAAACTAAACTATCAAAATATATGTACTTAAGTGCCAAGTGTCAAAATATGTGTGGTTTTGTGTGTGGTTTTCTGCAACTTGAACCATAAAATATATGTAGTTTTGTGAAATTTACTCATTTTAACTTCTACTTTACTATGTTAGTAAAAATATAAAATTCTAGATATAATCATTGTGCAGATTAGTAGCGAGAAGTTAATTTTTGCTGAGACAAAGAGTACTTCACTATGAGTAGCAATATAAAATTTTACCCTGAAATAATTTTCGTAGACTTATAATGGACACCCTACTGTTCGTTCCTTTTCTCTTACCGATCTAAATGGCGTGGTTTTAAGAAACTTACTTCATAAGAAAGCTTTCCAAATTCACCTTGTTAACTTTTTAATATTTATTTGTGCCCTTAAATAATACTCCCTCCATCCCATTTTAAGTGAAGTTTTGGGTTTCTATGTCTAACATTTAACCGTCCGTTTTATTTGAAAAATTTATAAAATATTTTTAAAAAATAAGTCATGCATAAATTACTATTAATATTTTATCATCTAATAACAACAGAAATACTAATAATTTTATTTTAAATAAGACGAAGAGACAAACGTTTAAAAAAAAATCCAAAACTGGGAGTAGTAATAAACTCTGTGTGATTCATAATGGATCATCCATCAGAATATATATATAGTACCGAAAAGAAAATTCAAATAAAGATGAATCATCAGACTTCCACACAAAATGATTAGCAGCAGCATGAGTGGCACGGCATATCCCAGCCTCTTAATTAAACCCCACTCGTAATTAAATGGTGCGCGCCAACTATGCTTAATTCAACATCTCACCACTAAAAACTCGCGATCTCCACTTCTCCGCGCCACAATCCATCTCTCTAGCACTCTCCACACCATTCGTTCCTCTCCTCCTCCCCTATAAAAACCCTCACACTCATCAGCAACCTTCTCTGTACTGCGACCAACGACAAACACCACAAGCTAAGTAAGGAGTAAGTAGCTTTGCAAGATTCAGCACAAATGGGATCGTTGGGCCCTGCTGTTGTGGTGAGCGCGAGCGCGGCGAAGATGGCCGGCGGCGGGCAGCAGCCGTCGACGGAGAGGAAGGAGACGTCGTCGGCGTTCGGCGGCGGGTGCTGCGGCGGCGGCTTCCAGATGCCGCTGCACTACCCGCGGTACAAGAAGGCGGACTACGAGGCGATGCCGGAGTGGCGCGTGGACTGCCTCCTCCGGGAGTACGGCCTCCCCGTCGACGGCGGCGTGGAGGAGAAGCGGAGGTTCGCCATGGGCGCCTTCCTCTGGCCCGACCAGTACTGAAGCTTGCTGTGCTTCGCCTTGGAGATATTCAGAAGCCGATCGAGCAGGGTACCAGTAACTGCATGATGCTAATTTGATTAGGAGCGCTCTATATATATTAATTAATCTATTATGTGTTTTTATTATGCTGAGCTCGTGTTAATCTGTCATCCGCATATAATGGCGCCATGGAAATATGGAATGATGATGTTGTAAATATTTCCTACTACTACGTTCATAAAGATATGGAAGAATACATTATTTTGCTCTTAAATTAATTATGTTGGTGGACGTTTAATTATGCATGCAATTTTCAAAATTTATATTTATATCAGTGAAAAATGTGTTATGCGTCCGCCTCCTCGTCCTGGGCTCATTAATCAACAGCAAAAGTGCAAACAGGTTGTGGCGATCCTGGTTGTCTTGCTTGGCGAATGGCGATGGGGCAGTACGAGGGAAGAGTGGTTCCTCTTCTCTCTCTCTCGCTCTCTCCAATTCTCCATCTGCATCTCCAAGCCAGGATGGTAACCGAGAGCTCTTGCGATCCGTTTCAGTGATCAAAGTATTGCTGGTGTTGGACGGTTGTAGATCTACTGTAGGTGTAGCTGCAGTCGGCCTCGTATTGCAACGGTCAGTTCAGTGCTAGCTTTCTTTCCTCAATGGTGTGTATTAGTATTGTTGGCATCACAACTAAAAAAACATTTTTCCACGCGGTTGAGGCGTTTGTCTGTACAGAAAGGTCTAAAAAATAACGTTCGCTATTTTCGCATGTGGGTGCTTATGTTGGCCACATGCAAAAATAAAAATCCAAAAAAAATCTCAAAAAGGAAGAAAAATCGAAACCCTAGCTCCTGATGGTGGCAGTGGTGCGGATCCGGCTGTCGCAGCGCAGGCCGTGGTGGATCGGGCTAACTCTTCCTCGTCGTCATCGGTGGCGGTGCCGAGCATGGAGCCGCCCACTCTCGACCACTTCCCTGTCATTGTCGGCGGCTCCACTGCCTGAGATCGCTAAGCCACCCGCTGCCCAGTCCCGGCTGCCTCCTCATCGTCAGCGACAGCGCCGCTCAAGGCCACCGCTCCCGCTCGCCTAGCTGCCCGCCGCCGCCAGCTCCCGCTCGGAGGAGAGGAGAGGAGAGTAAGAGAGAGAATAGAGGAGAGGAGGTTGAAAAAAAATTGAAGCGGTGAAGAGGGAAAGAGAGGAGGGAAAAAACTGTGGAAAAGAGGGGTATATTTTCGCATGCGGACCACTTAAGAGGCCCACATGCGAACATATATTTTCACATGCAGCCCCTTAAGAGGACCGCATATGAAAATAAACTATTTTTGTATGCGGCCCTTAAGAGACTCGGCTGTGAAAATAGATTTTTGCATGTGAGCTTCTTAAGGAGCTGTACGTGAAAATGAAGGTCGATTTTTACAGGTACGACTAGTTATGGTCCACCTGTAACCTATATGGGTCCTCGTAAAAAAATTGTTTTTTAAGTAGTGCATGCTGTTGCCCACTTGGCTGAGTTTGGTGCTAGTTTCTTTTTTCCTTTCTTTTCTCATGACTATAGCTTTCGAGAGTTATAATATTGTATTTTTCTCTTGCTTTATCCCTACAAACTTTACACTGACTAACCGTTTGTTTAAGTAGTTCGTACTTTACATTTACCCTAGTTCGGAAAAGCCAATATTCCGGCAGAGATCCTAGCCCAGTACAATATTCCAGGCCAGTACAGTTCAAACTGAAAGGAAAACCCGTTTTACTCCCTTGAATTGTTCTGCCAGAACACTTTACATTACAAACAGTAGGATTTGTAGAGGACTCAAAATCTTGGGATTTTATTCCTTTAGTGTCCTTAGGACTGAAGCAATGAAACTATGAAAATCCTATTGATGATTTAGTTTAGATCTATGCCCCATTTCGAGGAAATTAAAATAAAGGCTCCTCTGGATGGAATGAAATTCAAACGAATTTTAAAGGTTTTTAAACCTCAAAAACAAATTTCCCTATATGTGTTGTTTGGAACAAAGGATTTGAGCATTTCAAATTCATAAAAAAAATTACAATTAGCTCAAACATCATTTTATTTTTCTTTGGAGAAGTTCAATGCATCTTTTATCTTTATCTCTTTTCCCTCTCACAATTCCATCAAAATCATGTGGTTTCTATTAACCATCCAAATACAATATAATGTCTCAAATTCACGTGCTTTAAAAAAACATGGGATTTGCGCATACGTGACATTCCAATCCTTGTGTTTTTTTTTCATATTTGCTTGTTTTTTTTCAAATCCTGAATTCCAAATCATGAGCTCAAACCTCAAAGCTCTTATAGTTTCCTTTGAAAAGTCTAATGCATTCTCTACCCCCCTCCCCCCCTGATCTCTCTATGACCCAAATAAACTTCCTAAAAAATTCCTATGTTTATTTCAAGTGAACCATCCAAAGTCATATTATTGTATATATTCCTGTGTTTTGAAATTATTGCGGGTTCTATAAGAGCATGGCAGCCAATCCCGGCATTTTTCTTGTTTGTATATTTTAAAATCCTACTTTCCAAACGAGTCCAAATGTTAGCTCAGGAATCCTAATTAGCTTTTATGAACAAATAGTAAAATTTTTAATATAAAACAAAAATGTTATCAAAATATACTCAATGTTCTAAATATTTAATGGAACTAAATTGATGTTGTAGATGTTGCTAATTTTTTCTATAAATTTGATCAATCTTAAAGATGTTTGACTAAGAAAAAAGTCAAAGCGACTTATGATATGAAACGGAGGGAGTACAAACAAATAAAATATATCTACAATACTTATAGTTTTGTGGGATGTTTTTTTTTCGTCGATGAGAAAAAAAACTTAGATATTTTCAGTTGAGAGTTTCACAAAATAAATTCTAAGTCTTTACAACTAGTTTCTTGAATCATGTGGGTCAAATGTTTCTATTTGTATATGACACCAATTTTCATATGGAATGTTTTATGTGAAAATGATGCTTATACAAATTTGAGTAAATTTAATAAACTCCAAATATTTTGACAAAGATGCATTTTAGTCCATTGTGTTACAAAACTAGACATTTAAGGTTAAATTCATGAAACCGCTATGGATTTAACAATATCACAAAATTACAGATTTATCATAAAGCTACATATTGTAGAGGGTTCTGTCAAGGCATTGTTACCCTAATAGAGGCATTAAAATTATAGTTTTTGTGATAAATTTGGACTTAAATTTTGTAGTTTCTTGATGTTGTGGCTTAAATATGTAGTTTTATAATATATTTAGCCTCGAATGTATAGTTTTGTGGTACTATAGGTTAATTTGTGTAATTTTGTCATAGTTTTTTTTTCAAAGTACATATATAGTTTTGTGACATTTACTCTAGTATATTTTTTTATTCTGCTTGGAATTGTTTAAAAATATTTTTTCAGTTTACATGTGAGAATTCTTTGAAAATGTTTTGTTTGTTGCACCGTCACCTCTTATCCATTAACCATTCTACTTCTAGTGACATTTCTATCCAATAAGTCATATTTGAAGTTCTACGTTTGAAAGATTATATGTTAGTAGTATCATTTTGTCTTATGTTAGTATTTTTTAAGAGTCTTTAATCACTATGTACACAGTAGGTTGGAACGACCTAAGGTAGATTTGAATTGAGTTTTTAAACTGCATGCAAATTGTTAGAAGCAATTTATATTTTGTAAAATATAAACTAAAACCTCGAGAGTAAATAAAACTTTTCCTAAGTGTGCATACATAGGCAACATCTATACTCTACAGTGATGGATGGTGGCAGTGAATCTAATACCTAACACCGATTTTTACAATTTTAACTAAATCCATATATTTTTTGATATTATGGAATAGTCCAATACTGTTCAAACAAATAAACACCATAGATTAGAATAAGCAGACAAGCCATACTATCATAGGTAGTATTTTATTTAAAAAAATCCTTTTATACATCATAAACGTGAGCTTTTTCTAGTGTTTATAGATCACACTAGCTTGAAAAAGAAACACATATTTTGGTCGAAACTGATGCAAATAGACAAAGATCAAGGATAACTGTTTGATTAGATTTTATAAGTGATATAAAATGAAGAAATATTATAGAAGTTGATCTTTCTAAGAGTGAGTTTGAGGTAGAAGTGTTTGTCATTATAGGTCTTACATTATGCTACGTCGCAACTAAGGAGTAAGGACTCGAAGTCCCGAAAAGAAATTCTTTGCGCTCTCAACTTGAAACACAGGCCGGGTTTAGTTCCTAACTTTTTTTTCAAACTTCCAACTTTTCCATCACATCAAAACTTTCCTACACACATAAACTTCCAACTTTTTTCTTCGAACATCCAATTTTAATCAAAGTTCCAATTTTAGCGTGGAACAAAACATACCCACAGTTTCATTTCAGACAGGTAACTCTGGACAGTCACCTATCAAACACTGTCTGAATTAGATCCTCAGAACTTCAGACCCTGTAGCTACCATTGCATAGAAGAAACCCACTAGCTAGTTAATTAATACAAATTAATTGTTGTTACCTCCCAATTATGCAGTTACTAAGGCTGAGTTTTTTTTTTAACTTCAAAGAACAACTTTCTCGTTTTTCTTTAGCATGTTTCTTAAATAGCTAAATGGTGCACTTTTGTGGAATAATTTTTATATAGAAGTTTTTTAATAAAATAAATCTATTTTTAAATGTATAATAGTTTCTCTCTCTGAAAAGGACAAGCTTATGTCTGGATTCAAAGTTAAAATTGGTTTTTGCAGAACGCGATATAACACTCAATTAATCACACCTTAAGTACTCACCTTGTTTTGCACGCAGCAAAAAAGGTCAAGCAATTTGCTTGTTCGAATGCAATTAAGCTAAGTGTTGCTTCTTGTAGCCACATCCTTCGATCAATCATGCATGTTACAGATGATGGAGACATGATCGAGCTCAGACAGCGACGCCGGCGAGATGCGGTGCCCGGAGGCCGACGGCGCCTTGCCGGCGATCGAGATGTTCATTTGTTCAGAATTTATTGATGGTTCCTGTCCATATTCTTCTGAAACTTGGCACTGTTTTCATTAGCGATGGATGGGAATATGGACACGAACTCTTGAGTGTTCTTGTCAGGCCAAGTCGTTGGCTGCTTTGAGTGGCATTATTAATGCGAAGGTCAATTATATGGATCTACTGGACACACCCATCGTTTGCGTCTCGAATAATCTCGAGAATTATGATTGCGCATGAATAATAATAATTATTATTATTATTATCACGCCGTGTAATCTT